GAGAAAACGGGGAGGGCAAGAGCAGTGTGGGAAATGTAGAAGCTGAAGAACTTATGACACATGAACATGAACTAAAGAGAGGAAATATTGGGGGAGGGGAGGTGTGCAGGGTAGAGGGGAATGAAGGGGGAAATGGGACAACTGTAATGGCATAATGAATAAAATATATTAAAAAATAAGGCCTCACTTCTTACCAATGAATTTACTAAGAATTGCCATTTGATAGGTACAACTTCACTTGGTTGTCTGTTTTTTACACTTACATAGTACTCTTTACTTTTTGAAGTATTTTGTGTACAAATTTTTAAAATAAAAAGCAAAATGACAAAAAACCTTGACAGTATTTATCAATATTAACCAAAGCTTTCTTATTTAAATACTCCCTTACCAAGTGAGGTATATTAAATAAAATCTATTTTTTCATTAGATTTAAAATTTTTTTCATTAGATTTTTTTCAATTTTTTTATTATTTGAACTAATGGAAATTATAGACTTGGAGAATCAAAAGATAGTTTGGAATTGAAGTGAATTTCCACCTAAACATGAATAAAGCAATTGTTATGAGACTTTGTTTCTATTAATGAATAATGAAATTACACTGAAACAACCTGGGAAATAGGCACAGATTCCCCATGTGACCACAGCACAAACCTGGAATTTATATACAAACTACAAAATTTTCAGCCAGCAGAGCAAGCCTAAGCAAACATGCCATATCCAAACATCCACATATAAAATTAGGTGATATTAAAGAATTACTGGTAATTTTTAAATTGCTAATAGTTATGTGTTAATGAGCTCTTATCTTTAAAAGACAGGTATTAGAATCATGGTAAAACACTAACAGGGATTGCTTAAAATTAAAACAGAGCTGGGGTGGTCAGCTGTGGGGGTGACTTTTCCCACAATTCCCTCCCCCACCCACCTGCCACGGATAAAAGTAAACACTACCAAGACATGATCTGCTTGGGGAGGAGAGCTGGCCGATCCCTCAGAAGGGAAGGGCCAGGAGCCCCTTCCTCAAGGGGCTTTTATTGGGTTCATTTGTACAAGGGTACAGGTAAAGATCAAACAATAAATAGCGTTCAAAGAAGTATGAGGGCTTATTGTCAGTCAGGGTCGGATAGCTAACAGAGCCATAAAACTTTGAGGAACAAACTTCTTGCTTGGGCCCTTATCATTTAAATGAGAGCATTCTAAACAAAGCAGGTTTCACAGGATTTTTACATATTCTTTCTTATGCCTGATTTACCCCTGATACCACTCTAGCAAGGCAAGGAGCTGCATCACTTCCCCATCATAGGTTATTAGGCTTAAGTGGATTAGAGACAGGAAGTGCTTCTCCCAGCTGGAAATGGGGACTCAGAAATGGGGACTCGAGCTATGTCACATAGCTGGGGGGCAAGGGTCCATTGCTCGCTCTTTGTTGCAGCCCCCCCACCCCCCGTCCTTCCATCATGGCCTCCCAAGTGATCATGTCTGGCTTAGGTTGCTCCTCACTGTGAGGAGACTTACCCATCATCAACACTGACCATAATTTGGGGGCAGGGAGAGGAAACTGAGGCAGCGTTTGCTACCAAAGACAAGCTTTTGTCTCCTGTGGCTTGCATTCCGGAGGTCACTCACTCATCCTTAGCCATGGGGGGTAAAGTTACAATTCCTGAAACCGGGCAGAGTGGTCCACAACAGTCAGTGTAGGGGAATATACACAAAACAAGGGTAACTATGAGTTAATGACTGCGGTAACTGCTTTCATTATACCATCACCTCTTCTGTTTGTGCTTGAAAATGTTCATAGTAAAAAAATTAAAAACCAACCTGTGGGGGCGACTTCTCTGCGAGTCCCCCCCCCCCCCGTGCCACTGACACGAGTGAGTGAATAATGACCGAGACACAATGAGATCTGTTTGGGGAGGAGGAGGTGTGGGCTGTGGCCTCACAGCCCTCCCTTTCTCAAGGGAGACAAAGGCCAGCAGCGGCCAGATTCCCCGAGGAGAAAAAGGCCCTGAGCACCCTCTTCCGTAGCCTTTTATTGGGTTGTAATTCACAGGAATACAGGGCGACAAGGATCAAACAGTAGATAACATTACAAAGAGATCTGAGGGCTTCAGAGTCTGAGTCAGTGTCTGTCAGGAAGAGAGTTGCAGAAACTTTGGGAGAGGTACTCATTTCCTCTCATACCCTTATCATATGAATGAAAGAACTCTTAGCAGATTTCACAGGTTAATCAGCAAGCCTTTGTGGTGCCCGATTTTTCCCCAGGACATGCTCTAGCAAGGCAAGGAGCTGCATCCCTCCCCAACAGGTATTCAGGCTTAAAGGGATTAGAGCCAGCCCAGAGAACATGGGGACTCGGGCTATGTCAAAGCCAAGGGGTGAGAGTCCATTGATTTTTGTTGCAGCCCCCCGAGTCCTTCCATGAAGGCCTCCCAAGTGATCGAGTCTGGCTTAGGTTGCCCCCCACTGTGAGGGGTCTTACCCGTCATTGACTTCTGACCAAGCTCTGGGGGCAGGGAGAGGAACTGAGGCAGCGTTTGCTACCAAAGACAAGTTTGTCTCCTGTGGCTGGCACTCCAAAGGCTGTCTCTCGCCCTTAGCCACAAGGGGTAGAGATACAATTCCTAAAACTAGGCAGAGCAGTCTACTACACCAACCATTACACCAATAAATATCTTGTTAAATGTTTTGGCTTGAAATGCAAAGTGAGAGTAAACAGAAATGAGATGGTGGCAAACTACATTCACATAAAGATTAGGCTTCTTATTCGACTATTAATGAGAAGAACCAAAATGTCAGAATTAAGCAGAAAATGCCTCTGATCTATAAAAATCATTATTACCACTAGTACATATACACAATTACTCTTATGCAGAATTATAGCCAGAGGCAGCTGACTTACCCTTAACATAGAATTCTAGTATGTATAGTTACTGAATTTCTTAGCCAGCAGCCAATAACTATAGGGGATGCTAATACAGACAGATAAAGGGCACAAGACTGCTGACGGCCTAATATGGAAAAAAGAGAACAGCTATATAAGACATGAAGTTTACCACAAGTGAACACAACTTGATGAAGAGTAATAACCAGTATGATCCTTGGAAAGGCCACATGCTTTAGAGTCAAACACAGAACACATTCTACAGTCCCTTATTAACTATCTGAACTGGACCAAATTATTTAACCTCATTTTTGTCTCTAGAAAAAGGACCATGGTAGTTACATCACTAGGCTTACCTTGATTACCAAAAACTATCAAGAATGAGGTCTGTCCAGGAAAAGTCCAGCCATTGTTAATAGAACAAGAATGGTTTGTGAGACATGAATGTAACCTGGCAGTCAAGGAGAATGGACTGGAATGTGCATGTGTGAACCATGACAACCTCACTGTGCTAGTCAGTGGAGGCAGCAGACACCACTGAGTGAGCATGCGTGCTACATGGCTGTTGCATTCAAACTAACTGAGCGAGTACAGCAATGAATCTGCATCAGATTTTGCATTAAGCCTGAACATTTATTGGTGGTAACTATTCAGATGATTCAGAAGGCCACACCCTGGCTGGTGTGGCTCAGTGGATCGAGCATCAGCCTGAGAACTGAAAGGTTGCTGGTTCGATTCCTAGTCAAGGCACATGCTTGGGATGCAGGCCAGGTCTCCAGTTGGGGGTATGCAAGAGGCAACCAGTCCATGTTTCTCTTGCACATCAATGTTTCTCTCCTTCTCTTTCTCCCTTCTTCCCCTCTCTCTAAAAATAAATAAAGTCATTTTTAAAAATAGAAAGCCACAGCTATGGGCAACTGGTGACTTCATCACAACACACCTGCTCATGCATTACGTCTCATGCAATTTTCTGATGAAACATCAAATCACTCAGATGACTCAGCAGTCCTCCTGCCCAGATTTGGAGCCCTCTGACTTCTGGCTTTTCACAAAACTAAAATCATCTTTGACAGGAAAGAGATTTCAGACTGTTGATGAGATTCAGGAAAATACAACAGGGAAGCTATGGCAATTGGGAGAACTGTGTGAGGTCCCAAGATGCCTACTTTGAAGGGGACTGAGGTATCATTGTCCGATGTACAATGTTTCTTGTATCTTGTATACTCTTCAATAAATGTCTCTATTTTTCATATTACATGGCTGGATATGTTCTGGATAGACCACATACCTCAGAAGCCAATTTTCCAAACTCAGATAACAACTTGCCTGCAACCCTGTGAGAAACCCTGAGCCAAAACCACCCAGCTCAACTGTTCAAAGACTTCCACCCCTAAGAAATTGCATGAAATAATGTTTACTGAATTAAAGTGCTACATTTGGGGGTAACTTCTTACATATAATAGAACTAATACATTGTATGTGAGATACAATTTGTCTATTATTTGACTAAATTTTTTGCTAAATATGGTTTTGAGTCTCCTTGCTATGTAAACTAAATTATACAAGAGAAACCCTTTTAATTCATTTGAACAGAGTGCTTATCACATTGTAATGGCATGTTTATAAAGCGTTATTTTAATGCTGGCATTATTTTCAGTACTGAACTTCTTAAATCTTTTTTATATTCAAGAGAATGATGAAAAAACACAGACCACTATGTCATAGTTCAGTACCTCAGGCCCTCACCTAATATACTGTATTTTATATTAATATGTGTATATATGTATACACACACACTCTCTCTCTCTCTCTACACACACACACACACACACACACACACAGTCCAGCACAAATAACGCCCTTTTTAATTACAAAATCTTTTATTACAAAATCATAAGCATGTAATTCTAGAACAAAAATATCACACTCAAGCACATCATATAACATTTTAGGTGAAATTTTAAATTTAAACTATAAATTATTGCACCCATATTATTGCCCTACAAACCACACTGAAGCAGGCATTACCTCTGAGGGACCCTGTATATCTGTATATATGTGCTCTATATCTGCTGTACAATATATTTTAATATTAATAAAAAGTACTCTTAGTCCTACCTGAATGAGGCATTTGCTCACATCACTAGCACAGAGTGCTTTGTTACAACTCAGTGACACAGGGATCCATGTCAGGAACACCATGAAGGCCAGAGTAAGCATAACAACAGAATGTGACTTCATGTTTCTTCAAAGACAATCAGTAACTCCCAGGAAGCTAAAGTATAAATAAATAGGTAAGTAAGTAAACAAATAAATAAATAAAATAAAACCCCTTTAAATCAAAGGTAAGCACTAGGGTGAAAACAAATACAAAAAATGAAAAACAAAACATGAAAAAAACCCTACAGTTTTTTAATTTTTTTTTTAGTTTTTTAAAATGTTATTGATTATGCCATTACAGTTGTTCTATTCCCCCCTTCATTCCCCTCCACCCTGCACATGCCCTCCCCCACCATTCCCCCCTTTAGTTTATGACCACATGTCTCAAGTTCTTTAGATTCTATATTTCCCCTACTATTCTTGCCCTCCCCCCCATTTTCTACCTACCACCTGTGCTCCCTATTTTCTGTACCTTCTCCCCCCTTCTCCTCCTCCCACTCCCCTGTTGCTAAACCTCCATGTGATCTCCATTTCTATGGTTCCGCTCCTGATCTAGCTGTCCTCTTAGTCTGCTTTTGTTTTAGGCATGGTTCTTAATAACTGTGAGTTTCCTGTCCTTTCACTGTTCATCTTTTATATCTTCTTTTTCTTAGATAAGTCCCTTTAACATTTCATATAATAAGGGCTTGGTGATGATGAACTCCTTGAATTTGATCTTATCTGAGAAGCACTTTATCTGCCCTTCCATTCTAAATGAAAGCTTTGCTGGATAGAGCAATCTTGGATGTAGGTCTTTGGATTTCATGACTTGGAATACTTCTTTCCAGCCCCTTCTTGCCTGTAAGGTCTCCTTTGAGAAATCTGCTGACAGTCTGATGGGAAGTCCTTTGTAGGTGACTGTCCCCTTAGCTCTTGCTGCTTCTAGGATTCTCTCCTTCATTTTAATCTTCGCTAATGTAATGATGATGTGCCTTGGTGTGTTCCTCCTTGGGTCTACTCTCTTTGGGATTCTCTGAGCTCCCTGGACTTCCTGGAAGTCTATTCCCTTTTCCAGATTGGGGAATTTCTCCTTTATTATTTGTTCAAAGAAGTTTTCCACTTGTGGCTGTTCCTCTTCCCCTTCTGGTATCCCTATAATTCAGATGTTGGAGCGTTTAAAAATGTTCTGGAGATTCCTAAGCCTCTCCTCATCTTTTTGATTCTTGTTTCTTCATCCTTTTCTGTTTGGTCATTTTTTTCTTCTTCCTGGTCCATTCCCTTGATTTGAGTCCCAGTTTCCTTTCCATCACTATTGGTTTCCTGTGCATTTCCCTTCATTTCGATTAGTTTAGCCTTCATTTGTTCCTCTAATTTGTGATTAAAATCAACCAGTTCTGTGAGCATCCTGATCACCAGTGTTTTGAACTGTGCATCTGAAGGTTTGGTTATTTCCTGGCTGCTTAGAGTTATGGGCTCTGGGGCTTTGAATTCTTCTTGAGCCATGTTTTGGTCTGTTCCAGCCTGTTACGTATGAGGGGTGGAGCCTTAGGTGTTCACCAGGGCAGGGCCACCCAGGTTGCTGGGTTGTGATGCTGTATGTGGGGGCAGGGTCAGAGAGGGGCAATGGCGGTCCCCTCTGCTGTTTCCTGCCGCTGGGGCCTGTGCCATGTATCTCAAAGCTCTCTTCTTTGCTGGTTTATCTGTGCGCAAATGTGTGACCGCGGTCAGCCTGCCGCCTTGCGCCCTCACTGGGTCTGCCCGTCTCAGCCCCCATGCCTGGGATCCACCAACCGCTGCCTGTGAGCCTGGGTCAGTCTGGCCAAGTTTTCCTGCACAACTTGTTCCACCAGTTACTGGCTCCACCCCTCCTACTGGTCTGGCTGAATGATTTGTTGTTATCAGACTTCCATATAGTTCAATTTTCTGTGTTTTACCTGAATTTTTGTTACTAAAACTTTGTTGTCTTTAAATTTGGTTGTGCGAGGAGGCACGATGTTTCTACCTATGCCTCCATCTTGGCGGAAGTCCCAAAAAACCCTATAGTTTTACAAAGCAATGTTTTGTGGCCATATTCAAAGATCTAGAACACTGAAACTTCTGAGACTACCTAGAAATGGTGACTGTGAAAATTAAAGTGAATATATATGTATGTACATATACATGTCATCAGTAATCTGAGAGTACATCAAACTAGTTTCGAAACTGTACTGCTACTATTCACTTTTAGGCCCATTGTTCAATTATGTGCCTATATAAAAATATTAATATTGTTATAATTTAACAATCTTTTAATTCTTAGAATTAAAACAAAATTTTTCATGGAAACTATTCTAGTAATGATGACTATCTCAGTGTGTCCTAATATGATTTAGGATACATCCTAGAATGAAGCAGCTCAAATAGGAGTTGACAGTGATTCCTTAAATAATTTAGCAAACAACAAAGAGGATAGTAAATTACTGCATTGTGAACTGTAAAGTTATTAAAGTTTTTAAAATGTGAAGCTCTTCTTTTGATTCTATACCATGGGCACCATAGATATTAAGATATTACAAAGTTATTAAGATATTACAGTTTAAAAAGAAAAAGACCAGCACAAATTCTGACAGTAGTTGAGTGCCCCCCCCAAATAGAACCAATGAAAATAAATAACTACTGATATGAGAGTTAAAAGGGGTGTTTATGGGGCCTTTATAATTATTGTAAACATATATACTAAGTATTATGAAGTACAATAAAGCAAAAACAATAGGTGAAAAGAATAAAGGGCTTTGTACCCCCGTGTGACTAAATTTTGGTAAGAGAAAGCCCTGGTGATTGCTACTGAGACCGTTAGTAACCCAACTGTCTGATTTATTTAACAACACATTACCAAGTTGACTGATTTTTTGGAGCCACCAGTACATATTTGTGGAGGCCAAGGAAGGTATTTAAAAACTGATTTTTTCAGAACTAGTTTTCATCTTACAACTACCAAAAAGGGGATTCCCCCCCACTCCCCAGCCATCCCTTATGGTTGACTTCATCCAATACCAAAATCTTACTGGAAAAATATTCAATAAACTGGGGTTTGCACAAAGCAAGTACCATGATTATTTAAGGGGCTTCTTGATTTTTTTTTATCAATTAAGAACAATACCCCATCAAAACTGTTTTCATCCACCGTGACCAATTTCTCAGGCTGTGGCGACCTGTGTGTGGTCCTCAAGGGAGACAACAGCCTTTGTGCCGCTGTACTGAGCCCCTGCTGCCCGGTGAGGAGGCAGAGGCCACGGCGGCTCTGCAGGACAAGGCCAGGAACGCCCGGCACCAGAGATACAGGAGTGGGGGTCCGAGAGGTGTCGCCAGCTCGTGGCGCCAAGGCCGCCCTAGCCTGCATCCCACGCCTAGCACCTACCGGAGGTGGCACCCCACTTTGTCCTCCGCGTAGGCGGAGCTCAGGCCACGGGCGATCAGCTTCGTTTCTCCTGGCTCCCAAGTAACCGGCGCGGCCCACCGCCTCTGGAGGCCGGAGCTCAAGACCAGACTCTCCCGGCCGCAGACGCTACACTCGGCCCTCTTCCGCTCACCGTGCGCTGCGGCACCGCTAGGCTGCCTGGCCCAGGTTCCCCGGCTGGACGGTCTAGCCCGGGGGCGCGCGCCGCTGAGACGTGCGAGAGAGGCAGGCCGCGCCTCCGCGCAGTCCCTCCGCGCGGCGCCTGCGAGCTCCGGCCACCTTAAAGAGACAGGACGGGCTGCCTGCCGCCTGCCCCGCCAACGCCTCCCGCTCACCACCCCTCCTACTCTCCCTCCGCCCTCCCTTAGCGCCCAGCCGCTGCTGCGGCTCCAGTCGGGAGGCGTCTCTCACTACCGCAGAGCTCTGGACAGCGTTGGCCGCTGGCTCCGTTCCTGCCTTCGGCCCCGCGGGACCCCTGGGTCCGCCACTAGCCCGCGGGGCAGGTCGGTGGCAGCAGGCCCCGCCCCCCAGGAACACACCCATCTTGGTGCCAGCACACAATTTCTCTGAGCTCCTTCCTTCCCGCGTCTGAGGCTCCTGCAAGACCGTATTGTCAGGTCCATTCTCTGGGCTTATCATGTTCTAGTCATGGAACTGAGAATACGACGTTCAAGAGCTCACTGAATCCTCACAACGACCCTGTCAGGCTGCTGTTATACGCCCTCTTACAGGAATGCAAGACGGAGGCTCTGAGAGGTGGAGTAGCCTTAACCCAGAAGAGCAGACACTTGAACCCAACACCGGAGACAAAATTTGTTAAAATACAGGTTTCTGGGATCTGCCTCAGACAGACTGAATAAGGATTTCCAAGGATAGAGCCTTCTTTCAGCAGTTCACTAAAATTTGCTGCACCCTGTGTCTAGCACTGTGCTTAGCATTGGAAATAGCAAGAGTCATGCCATAGGAGCTGGCCCAGAAAGAGCTTACTGTCCTGTGGACAGGATGGAGAGACAGCTAAACAAATGGCTACAGCGCCCCACTCCAAGCCTTTGTGGGAGAGGGCTGTGGAGCATGCAGGACACCAGCAGTCATTTCAGCCTGTATTTTTAAAAAATGAATTTATTCCACCAAGAGGTAGCATTTAGATAAAGACAATGGAGACATACATTCAGGTCCTTCCCACGACACTGGGGATTTTAGATTTAAAAATACTCCCCAGTGATTAGGTTGGAGCCCATTGGGCCAGATGATCCAGAAGGTATTTTCCCTTTAGAAATAGTGACCTAGTACTAAAGTCTTAAGATAGTAGCAGTCTTAAATGCCTTATATTTCCTTTGTTGATTTGAAGAAAGCAGAAAGAGAGAGAAAGAATTGCTTGGTGAGGAGGTGGATTTCATTATTGATATTAGCCCATTATTGTACAGTAAGTAATTAAGTATATATTTCAAAAATCATCCCTGAAAACTATCCTAAAGAAATAATTAAGAGTGTACACAAATTAAGGATCTTATTCTAGGCATGACTTATTGGTTGAATGAATTATGACACTGTAGTACAGTGGACTAAATCAGCTATTAAAATAATATTGTAGATCAGAGGTTCTCAAACGATGGTTTCAGGACTCATGTGCTTGAAAATTACTGAGGGCTCCAATGAGGTTTTGTTTATGTGTGTTACATCTATCAAAACCTTTGAAATTAAACCTGAGAGATTTAAAAATATTTATTCATTATTTAAAACAGACTCCATTACGTGGTAACATGAATAACATTTTATGAAAAATAAGTATATACTGCAAAACAAAAAAAACATAGAAGAGTGTCATTGTTTTACATTTTTGCTATTTTCTTTTCTTTTTTCTTTTCAAGTATTTTTAATTGATTATGCTATTACAGTTTTCCCAATTTTCTCCCCTTTATCCCCCCTCCACCCTGCCCCCTCAACCCTACAGCATTCCCCCCCTTAGTTCATGTCCATTGGTTGTACATGTAAGTTCTTTGAGTCCTTTATTGCCTATACCATTTTTATCTTTCCCCATCTATTTTCCCCTATTTTATGCCTAGTAATTATTCTTCTTCCCTGTACCTTCCCCCTATTCTTCCCTTCCCCCTCCCCACTGAATTCCCACTGTGTTGATGTCCATTTCTCTGATTCTGTTCCTGTTCTGGCTGTTTGCTTAGTTGTTATTTTCATTGTTTTTCTTTTCTTTTAGGTTCATTTGTGGAAGTTATGAGTTTGTGGTCATTTTATTGTTCATATTTTTATCTTCTTTTTTCTTACATAAGGCCCTTTAATGTTTCATATAGTAAGGGCTTGGTAATGATGAACTCCTTTAACTTGACCTTATCTGGGAAGCCCTTTACCTGCCCTTCCATTCTAAATGAAGGTTTGCTGGATAGAGCAATCTTGGATGTAGGTCCTTTCCTTTCACCACTTCAAATATTTCTTTCCAGCCCCTTCTTGCCTGTAAGGTTTCTTTTGAGAAATCAGCTGATAGTCTTATGGGAACTCCTTTGTAGCTAACTGTCTCCTTTTCTCTTGCTGCTCTTAGGATTTTCTCGTTGTCTTATCTTGAGTAAGTTAATGATGACGTGCTTTGGTGTGTTCCTTTTTGGGTCCAACTTCTTTGGGACTCTCTGGGCTTCCTGGACTTCCTGGAAGTCTATTTCCTTTGCCAGACTGGGGAATTTTTTCTTCATTATTTGTTCTAATAAGTTTTCAATTTATTGCTGTTGCTCTTCTCCTTCTGGCACCCTTATAATTCGGATATTGGAACATTTAAGGTTGTCCCAGAGGTTCCTATGTCTCTCTTCATTTTTTTGGATTCTTGTTTCTTCATTCTGTACCAGTTGGATGCTTATTTCTTCCTTTCGTTCTAAATTGTTGCTTTGAATCCTGGTTTCCTTCTTGTCACTGTTGGCTCCCTGAATATTTTGCTTTATTTCATTTTGGGTATCTCTCATTTGTTCTTTCATTTTTTGACCAAGCTCAATCAGGTCTGTGAGCATTTTGATTGCCAGGACTTTAAATTCTCCATTAGTTAGGTGGGCAATGTCCTCATCACTTAGTTCTGAGGTTTCTCTGTGTTCTTTCATTTGGGCCATATTTTTTGTCTTAGTGCACCTGATAAATTGTAAGGGACAGGGCCTTAGGTGTTCACTCAGGCAGGACAACTCTCCTTGCTCTGCTGCCTGTAGGGGAGGGGCCAGAGAGAGCAGTGAAGCTCACTGCTCTTCTCTGGCGCACTTTCCAACAGACTCCTGTGTCAGACTGGAAGTATCTCCCACTGCGGCAACCCCAGCCATAGCCCACAGTCAGCTTTGAGTCTCAGTTTTCCCCTTAAGTCAGTCCCTCCCATGCAGCTCCACCGAGCTCAGCAATCAGTTCCCCCCCTCAGGCACCTTGATGCAGGTTTTCTGAGTTGCCCACCCCAGTCGCGTCTGCCTTACCATTCTGGTTGATTTTCTCTTTAATTCCTTGGTTGTTGGAGTTCCATGCAGTTTGATTTTCTGGTGCTCCTGGTTGTTTATTGATTTTAGATTGGTTGTTATCCTCCTTTTGGTTGTGAGTAGAAGCAAAGGGTTTCTACCTATGCCTCCATCTTGGCTGGAACTCCTATTTTCTTTTCTTTTGATAATCAAAATTTTATTTTATTTTTAAAGCATATTTGATTGATTATGCTATTACAGTTGTCCCTTTTTTTTCCTCCTCTTTATTCCCTTCTACGCTGCGCCCTTCCCCCTCCCCCATCCCCCGCATTCCCTCTCCTTAGTTCATGTCCATGGGTCATACATATAAGTTCTTTGGTTTCTCCCTTTCCCATACTATTCTTAACCTCCCCCTGTCTATTTTGTACCTACCATTTATGCTTCTTATTCCCTGTGCCTTTTCCCCCATTCTCTCTCCTCCCCCATGGACATGATAACCCTCCGTGTGACCTCCATTTCTGCGATTCGGTTCTTGTTCTAGTTGTTTGAATAGTTTGTTTTTGTTTCAGGTTCAGTTGTCGATGGATGTGAGTCTGTTGTCATTTTACTGTTCATACTTTTGATTATCTTCTTTTTCTTATATAAGTCCCTATAACATTGCATATAATAAGGGCTTGGTGATGAATTCCTTTAATTTTACCTTTTCTGGGAAGCACTTTCTCTGCCCTTTGATTCTAAATGATAGTTTTGCTTAATAGAATAATCTGGGATGTAGGTCCTTCCCCTTCATGACTTCAAATACTTCTTTCCAGCCCCTTCCTGCCTGTAAATTTTCTTTTGAGAAATACCACCAAGGAGTACACTTTACCTGGTGTCACACTTTAAACCCTTCCCAATTTGTTGGCTGACTTACAAGAGTTTTCTGAACTGGAGCAGGCAAATAGGGCCATCCTCAAGTACAATGGCTAGTCCAGTTTCCTGGCAGGTAAGGCTACCCATGTAAGCTACACACCCAGAGGGCTCCAGTAGGAACTGCAGCCCATGCATCATCCCATGCTTCCCAGAAATGCTCTAGAGTCTGAGTCTGACACAGACCTGTCGGAATCCAGCCCACCTGGGCTTATCCTTAGGAATTCTCAGTGCAAAGGGGAGCTGGTCCAGCTCCTCGATTTTAGCTGTGAGACACCCCGACCCATCTAATAGGGAGTAGCCAACTACTGGCAGGGGCCAGTCATACCGCTGTTTTGCCCCAGGTGTAGATGACAGTCCAGGTCGAATTCCACAAGGGATGTTTATTGTTCTACTACTGGTTCTAAAGCCAAGTCCAATTTGAGACAGAAGCAGGAGAGATATGCTCAGGGGGATTTCAGTGCAGATCCAGCATGCTGATTGGTTACCCCTGGGGCACAGGTAGAACCCAGTCCACTAAGGTGTTACTTTGCACCCTAGGGGCAAAAAGACAGAGCAGTTACAGACACCGGTAAGAGCAAGCCATGACCCTCAGGCAATATACAAGCAAGCTTCTGGGCAGCCAATAAGACAGTGGCTGGCAGAGGGGGTCTTCCTGGGCATGAATACCATACCTTTGGTGCCTCAACGGGGGGCGGGGCGGGGGGGGGGAGTCAGTATCTTCCTGCAATAACAGGGGGAAACAGGGGGAACTCATACTGGAAATTACAAAGTGCCATGAAGAAGTATTTTGTGGTCCGCTGGTCCTGAATATGTCACCTTTATGAATGGAGGCCATGTCCCAATCATCCATGGCACTATTTGTACATTTCTCTCCACCCCTTGGCCCCAAGGGGCAACAAGAGCCACCAAACTCATGTGAGGGGATTTTATTTTCCAAGGCCACCAACAAGTAACT